CTGTGTGGAAGAAGAGAGAGAGCCCTTGCGACAGAAGAGAGCGAAGCGAAACGTGGATGTAACTTGTTGAGTGCAAATCTCCAGGCCCAGTAGGAGGGTCGACAAGCGGCGACATTCCCATCATGCACAGCAGGGTTGGAAGCCAGCAGAGGGGCAAACTTGAAATCCCTCGAAAGCGGAGCGCTCCTTGGGGAGAACCGATACTGCTGACCAATTCACAATGCAGCCATGCGCAGTCGGGGGCGGACCCTCGCCTATACCTCCTTCAGAGGCTTCAACGGTGCCGGCAATGGCGGCCAGTCCAGAACAAGTGCCACCTGCAGAACCAGCTCCATGAATTGATTCCGATGCGATCCCAGCCTCGTGGAGAGAGCACGTGTCGCTCTACGCCCCACAACAGTCGGGCGCTAACGTGCTCGGTGGGAGGTGTCTCCCCTCTCACCCTAGAGCGGGTGACGCGAATATGATTGCTTTTCCATTGTACGTGTAGCTGTGGGGAAGTTGTCTTGAGCCAGCTGCGGGAACTCTTGGCGATTCCTTGTCGTTGAAGCTGCAACTACAGCTGTTACTGAGAGACTGCGTCGCAGCGGGTATGTATGTGCGACACATGAGTTTGTTCTCCACCTGCCTTTGCTTCATTGACACATGCTTTTGACATGTGACCCGGGGAACTGATCCCGTTACAGTGCTGCTGGTGTGGCTGTCACGCACAACCAGGAACATGCCGCGAATTGCCCACGATGTCCCATCCCTATGTCCTCTGGATATCAAATCCTGCATTCCGGGCATTTCGTGCAGTCGCCGGTTCCTCACTCGGGCAGGCTGATAACTTTTTATTGTTGGTCACAAAGTTAACAACTTAATTGCCTTTGTCTGCGTGTGCTTTCTCCGGCTTGCCACAATCAAAGGAAAAACTCCTGCATCTTCGATCATTTCTGCAACGTAGTTGCGAAAACACAGACCCCAGCCAGATGCAGTTTTATCGGATGACTTCTTTGCCATCATGAATTTGCTTGACGTAGCTCTGATCAAGCTGAAGCGTGGGTGTCGCTTGTGACCGCACCTTGATGCAAGTGCGCCCGGGGACACAAACCTTGCAATCATATCCTTTCATCGGCTAGTGGGCTTTATGGCTTCGTTTTCCTGGGGACGCATTTGTTTTTTCACATCTCCTCACGAAGCCCTCACACTGAGCAATCTGCTCGCGGGACTTCCCAAGTCCCCGACACCCTGGAGACAGGAACAGAACAGAACAGCTGGTGACCCGATGCTCTGACCTCACACAGTTCGTGTACAGCCAAACCCATCCACCAAGAATGATGGATGAGGCATCGCACTGCGAGGGTTGGGGGACTGCCCTCAACCCAAGCCCCACCACCAAGCAAAGCAAGGAGAGCCTGTGAGGATGGCACATAGCTGTTTACACGACATGGATGTTGCTCTGCAAAACAGAAGCCAGTTGTCCGCAGCGGCCGATGCTCATCAAACAGACCTCCCTCACCCTGCATTCTCAACATAGGTGTGCTCACTCACGCCAGGAGGTGAAGCCGCCCAGATCTGCAGAAAGAAAGCAAGAGAGTGAAAGGGAGGCAGTTCAGTTCACCCCAGAGAGAAAGCCCACACCCCATTTTGTAGGCTTGGAAAGAGAGGGAGACGCAGGGGCGCAAGCGCGCGGTGGGGAGGCAACTCCCCACCTCAGCCTGGCGAAGGAAAAGAGAGGAGTACAAGCGAGTGGGATGGGAGTGAGGAAGGGCTGCCTTTCGAATGAATGTGACTCCGCATCCCGAGTCCAGGCCGTGAAGTATCCTGGTCACCTGCGGCTCGGCCTGGTTGCGTCGAGCGGGGTTTTCGCAGTGCCGGAGGCCTGCTTCGAGCTCGACCAAGCGCTGTCTAGAGTCTAGAGATGCGCAGATTGCAATTCCAACCACCTCCCCAAGCCTAGCCTTGCGACCGTGCGGGTTTGGAAGAGGATTTGTAGAACGTTGTCGTTTCAGATCTTACCTTAAATTTCAGGAGATTCGTGCGGCTGGACCTCTCGAATCTGAGTTTGCAGCCTCTGACTTTGTGTCGCAGGCTCGATCCCAGGAAGCTGCGATGGCCTGTGCTTCACTGCTGAAAGTGGCCAGCGGCGCATCGGCTCAGGATTCTGCCCGGGCCTGAGAGCAGTCCGTGTCTTTGTCTCGCTGGTGTTGCTGATGGTGCTGCGGATGGTAATGATGGTGATGATGATGATGATGATGACGATGATGATGATGATGGCGATGACGATAATGCTGTTGCTGACGACGATACTGACGATGCCCCTTTAAGGAGGTTATGGTTGAGTTGAGACGAAGGTAACGATGAGCAGGTTCTGCTTTCTGTTTTCATGTATCTTGACAAGTCTCAGTCAGTATTTTCCTAGAGACGGACATAAGATTCTACCACTCACCCCGATTCCCGCTCAACTGGCGGGCAGGGCGGGGCGAGGCTCAAACCCTCCCTTTCAGGCTTTTGCAAAGGTCCCTGATGATGATGATGATGATGTGATGATGATGATGATGGTGATGATCGTGACGACGACGATGACGATAATGATGACGAAGATGATGATTGTGAAGCGGATGCTGCTGCTGCTGCTGCTGATGATGATGATGATGAGGTGGTTGATGATGATGATGATGATGAAGATGACGATATATGACGATTGTTTTTCCTGTGTCTGTTGCTGTTTGCACCGCCGCCGCCGCCGCCGCCGCCGCTGCTGCTGCTGCTGCTTGTTGAGGTGGCGGTGGCGGCGGCGGCGGCGGCGGCAGCGGCGGCGGCGGTGGTGGTGGTGTTGTCGTTGTTGTTGTGGTCGTGGCTGTGGTTGTGGATGTTGTTGTTCATGTTATTCTTATTTTAACTGATAGTATTATTATGTTTTCGTTGAGTGTTTTCGTTGCGGATGAGCACGGTGTTGACGCTGGCGATGGGTTGAGGCACACAGCGCAATTCGTCACATGCTTTTCTGCATCTCTGTTGCTTCACCCTGCCTGGCTGTTGGTCAAGGCTGTTCAATCTGCAGGTGTGGCCCATTACAAGGCTGACAATTTGAAATTCCTCAAAGATGTTCGCGCTTGTTGGGCCTGCATGCCCCACAGCTGATCCAAGCTTGGCTAATTGTGTAGGCAGAGCATGCCAACCCGGCAAGTTACAAGCATTGACTCGGTGACAGACAGCTTCACAGTAGACCGTTTGTTGAGCAACAGCCAGCAGAAGATGGGGGTGGCTGCCAGCCGCGACACCGCATGTCTCTCTGGCATGATGCGCGGCTCTCGCCCGCTGCCTTCAAGTGCCGAGCCAATCACTGTCACGATCTGCGGCGCAGCCGGGCAGATTGGTTACTCGCTGCTGCCAATGATCGCCTCAGGGGGCATGTTCGGGCCTTCTCAAAGGGTGAACCTGCAATGCGTGGACTTGAACCTGCCGGAGGTGATGGACGGCATGCACGGCATGGAAATGGAGCTTCAAGATGGCAACTTCCCGCTCTTGCACAAGTCTCTCTTCACAACGGATGACGCTCTAGCTTTCAAAGGAGCTGACTATGCCATCCTTCTTGGGGCTTTCCCTAGACAAGAGGGCTTGGAGAAGCGAGACATCATGGAGAAGAATGTCATGATTTTCCGAACGATGGGCCGAGCCCTTGAGAGACACGTGAAGTATGACTGCAAGATCTTGGTGGTGGGCAACCCTGCACACACAAATGCCTGGATTTGTGCCCACTACGCACCATCTTTACCCAAGCAGAATTTCTTTGCTCTGACCCGCTTAGACCAGAACCGTGCAGCCGGGCAGATTGCACATCACTTTGGCATAGCAGTGAATGAAGTCAAAAATGTTGTGGCTTGGGGCTCGCATGCCAAGTTTCCGGACATCGAGCATGCCATCATCAAGGGAAGACCTGTGACGCAAGCGCTAGCAACCACAGAAGAGCGAAAGCACATGAACGATCTTTTTTACAAGGAGATGCAGCAGCGTGGAGCCAGCATCGTGAAGGCCCGGAAGGCCAGCAGCGCGATGTCCACTGCTCGTGCCATCGTCGATCACATTCATGACTTGCACAGTGGGACACTGGCCGGTGAGTTCGTTTCCATGGGGGTCTGGTCCGATCACGGCGCTTATTCGATTGCAGACTCGCTCGTCTTCTCCGTGCCAGTGATTTGCTATGGGGGTGGTCGCTATCGCGTGCACCCGGGGCTCGTGCTGAGCCCTGCTAGCCGCGAAAAGCTAAAGCAAGTCGAAGCTGAGATCATTGCAGAACGTGACTTTGCAAAGCAATTCATCAAGACTGGCTCAGGCCCTGCCCCGTCTGCCCCCGCGCCCTCTGCTTCCTGAGCCGAGGCACTTGATTAATGCAGCACAGGATCGCTTCGCTCCGAACGGTGCCTGCGATACTGCGAGAGCACCCGTTACAGGGCTGTCCAGCGAGAAAAAGTCAACACGAGAGTTGGCAGGGAGGTGAAGGTGGCTTAAGTCTCTGCTGCGCTTCAGTCAGAGCCAAGCCCACGAGGCTTGCTTGCTGCAGGCTGCTGGAGCTGTGTGGGCACTCAGCATCGATCGGTCCCGGCAGTAGACCAACGAATCTGAGCTCTCGCAGTCCTCACACTTCGTTTCGGGCGGTCCAGGCTGTGACGGAGCAGCTCGTCAGAACTCTGGGGCTGGACTCCCAGATCTGCTTCGACTTCCTGGAGGTACTCGGCCGGTAGAGCCGATGCCGAGTGCTGTTAGGCTTCTAGGCTTCTAGGATACCTCTCAGACATCTTTAGACCCGCTCCGTTGCATACATATTGCGTTCGGTGTTTCGATTCCAATTCCAATGCGCCTTGCATGGATTTGAGCAGGATTTGTCAGTTGCACCTGGCTGGCTAGTTGAATCAGACACAGCGTTGACACGGTCTTCTCTTCGGGAGACCTCCACCCTGCAGCTGAGGCCCGACGACAGTCCGGCACAACTTGTAGCCGCTTCCCTCGCCACAGCCATGGCTGACGACTTAAGCAAGGCATGGAATTTTCTTTTGCAAGGTTTCGTCATGCCTCTTCGCGGTGAGACATCAAAGCATGAAGCACCAAGGTGCGACATTTGCGGTCTGACACGGAGTGTCGGAGCAATGTTAAGCACATCGCGGCATCGCGGTCTTGATTCCGAGGCCCGTGGCGGCGAAAATGAGTTTCGCGACGCCTGCCACGAGGCTTCGCTGCGGTCATGGCCTCCAGCCTCGTAGCTCGTTGAAAGATTCCAAAGTCGAGGTGCGCAAAGTGGCTGGTGGGCTTTGGGATGCAGTAGTCTCAGTGCGGCTCGTGTTTCAAACGCCCGTTCAGCAACAGTAGAGCCTGTCCAAGAACGAGGTGCCTCGTCAAAGAACGGCCCTTCTAGCCGCAGTCCTTGATGCGGAGTTGCGGATAATGAGCGACAAGGAGGCGCCCCTGTGAACTGCCAGTCGAAAGAGCCTGGGCCTCTAACCCGGTGGGCCTTGGGGTTCGAAGGATCACGTATTTGCAGTGGGCAACCATGGTTCGAATGATGCTTCCTGTGCAAGCAAGCTCAGCCCCACCCTGACTTGGCTTGCTCCGTGTAGGGTGTTTTCTCGTCTGAAAGGCGAAGCGCTTGAACACCTCGTTCCAAGAGCTCTTGTCCTCCTTGGATGTCGCTGTGCCAGAGACCTTGGATTGGTGGCACCGTGCTCAGCAGTGGGTAGCCTTGGGCCCTCCCCTCATGTTTTTGACCTGCTTACCCTCCAAACCCCTGCACGGCTTGTGTTTTTTTTCAGTCATCATGTTCTCATCATTTCTCATCCTTTTCGGCGCTTTTCCTCACAAAGTTTCCCGGGTTTCCCGCGCCCTTGACCCTCGTCGGGTTTTCTCTGCAGTCGGGGCGGGGGGGGGAGGGGGCAGGTGTTTCTTCTATTCTAATGCCCGTCTTTCGTCCTCAAAGTCCTCCTCTCGAAACCCTGAATCCTTTGCGCACGGATCAGCTCGTGCGCAATTTGCGTTTGGCGCACGAAGCCCCGGGTGCGCGAATCTTCTGAGAGACGTCGTCCGTGCGTCCGCCGGCGCAGGGCTCGCCTCCTCCGTTCCAAATCCATGGCCTCAGCATGCGAAGTCTTCAGTGTGCGAATGCAACTGATCGAGAAACGTCATATCACTAGGGTCGGGCATTTTACGGTTCCACGGTGGCTTTCAAGAATGAATGCGGGGCTTGTGAGTCATCTCGAGGGCAGTCGTTGAAACTTCACAGGGTTGAGAGTCGGAGCCTATCGGGTTCCCATTCACGTCACCTTAAGCAATGGATCGTGCCTGCTGCATGATCGTTGTCGGAGCATGCAGCCGCGCACGTGATTCGAGTCAGTGCCACTTACCACTTGCGACCTCCCCGTTTGCGGCATTCCATCATTCCATGTCCCTGTCCCTGCAGTCGTCAGCTCAGGTCATGTCAATCCATCTTAAGGATTTTGGAGACCTCTGCGCACTTCATCTGTTCGGATCTTCAGGCTACGCTACCTCCGTTTTGCCCAACGTGCAGGGGCTTTGGGATGCTCTGGAGCTGGGGACCAAGGCACTGCGAAATTTTCAACAAAATGACCTCATTGCGTTCTGATGTCAGCTCTCGACCTTTGGCAGCTGCTGATGCGTACTCTACCTCTCTAATCAACTCTAATCTCGGATTGTTCGAGGTGCCCAGTGTGTCCGAAGTCCACTGGCGGGCTCTGCGGGTGCTGCCGGACACCTGACTCGAAGACGCTGTTGCCTGCTAGGTTGGCGGCAGTGTCGAGTTCGATGTTCAGAAAAGTTTACACTGCTAGCCTTGCAGCAGCCCCGACCCCGATTGACTTGATTGTGAAGCTTTAAACTCCTGGTATAGCCGGCCACCCAAAACTTCAATTTGGCAGTCAGTCGCTTGACCCTTGAGGTTTCTGCTCGTAGAAAGGGGTCGTGCGAAAAACGGAGAACGATTGTGAAAGTATCAAGAACCATTCCTAGCAACCACATGTTGGCCAGCACGTCCTGGCGGCTTGCAGGATCAAGCGCTGTACCGCGAGAAGTCACAGCAAGTCATGCAGAGCCGGGGTCCAAGTTCCCCTCGCGCACTCGGCAATTGGGCATCATCGGGCAATTTCGGAGGCCAAGCATGAGGACCTGCGCTGACAAAACGTCCAGTTTCACCTGCTGAAGGGCGCGCCAACGGCAGAAAAAAGCACAGTGGCACAGTACAGTCTGAAGTCCAGCACAATTGTATTCAATGTGAACATCGGCAATCCTGTGTTTGGCAGGCACCTGATGCTGAAGCCAGTGGAAGCCCGAAGGAGACGCAGGGAGAGGCCGAAGCGGCCGGCAAGACTTCTCTCGACGATGCAAAGGCTCCGAGCGAGGTCGTCGAGGTTGCAGCGACCGAGGCTGAGCCGACAGAGCAGAAGTCGCCCGACGCTCTCCTGGCGGCTGGCGCCACGGGGCCGAGCGAGAGCTCAGCGCCCGACGCATCACCAGCTGAGGCGAGCCCTGACGCGAGCCCTGACGCGAGCGCAGACGCAGACACGACGGACGGTGCCAAAGCCGAAGCCGAAGCCGAGAAGAGCCCTTCGGTTCAACCTGGACACGAGTCGAAGGATGGAACGCTCCTGGCCGAGCACGAACACGAGCATGAAGAGACGGATGGTGAGGAGCATGAGTTCGGAGAGACCGCCCATCTCGTGGAGCTGGAGGCTGAAGAGGACCCTGAGTTCGAGCAGGAGGAGCCGGACATTAATGCTCTCGCCTTCTTAGTCTTGGATGTCTTGGTGCCTCGTCGTTTCTTGAGGACGTCAATGAAGAAGATGCAGAGGAGGAAGAAGAAGAAGTGTACAAGGAGGAGGCATTCGGTAAGTCAACATGCATTGCATCATGCACTTCCTAATCCAGCTTTGGACCTGCAGGAGCTGGGCCCGCCGATCAACATCTACAAGCCTGTGACACCTTACGAGGCAAGAGTAGCTTCAGTTAGAGAGCCCATCAATCAACACATTCAAGCCGCTCCGAACAACTCTACGTGAGCGAGCGGCACAAGCTGACTTCGTCGAACATTCAGCATTTCAGTTGTAGTGACAGCTGCCGCTGGGGGTGAGGTCAACTGGGAAATCACGGAAGTTCCGGTGGAAGGATCTGCAGGCGCCCGTCGTTGGGACAGCTGCTCTCAGCTTTGGCCCTGGCTGCGCTATGCTGCGCTGCGAGGTGGAAGCCAAGGGTCGAAGAAGGTCGGAAAAGTCGTGAAGCCGAAGGCAAGCTGTCTCGTGTCTCCAGCCCCCCAATTTGGGCTTGAAGGAGGCCCTAGCTGGAAAAACACATGTATGCTGGGGATGTCTAGGGCCCCGGTGAGCCGTCTGCCTGCAAAGGGAGTATCTGCAGCATCCATCAACAGGATCTAAAGCAAACATCTCTGCTGTAGCACTGTAGCGCGCCTTCGGGTTGCCGTTGACTGCAGGTAACCAAAGGACGTTGCCAATGGCGCAATCCTGTTGGGTCTGGGGCTCTGAAAACTCCGCTCAACTCCGACTCCGGGATCCGTCGGGCTGGGCGGGCTGAGCCGGTCGGGCCATGTCGGACTGCCGCGGCTTTTGCTGCGATTGGATCCCAGGTTCATGTGCTCGACAAATACCTCGGAGGCTGCCGAGCATGAGCCGTGGCCGAATGACATGTATGCTGCAGGTGCCTCAGTGCTTTCACTGTGTGGGGGCTGTGTTTAAAGGGGGCGCGCGCTTGTCAGGTCTCCAGCACTCTGCAGCATGAAGCGTGTCTGAGGTCTACACGTCGACACAGGGAGGAGACAGCAAGGCAAGGCAGTACAAAACCTCCGCTGTAACAGTGAAAGGCACTCTCAGAGCGATCTTGTCACCTCAACCATGCATCATCACGCACTCCTCGTTGGTTGTGGAGCCGTTGGAGGGTTTCGTTGGGTGGAGGCGGGCAAGGGTCTCATGACTCAGAAGTTTTCGATGAGGAGAAAGATCAGGCAGTCACTGATGTGTGATGAAGCCCATACACGTGATCTCAGACAACATCGAACTACTAACACACCTTCGAGAATTGCTAGGCTAAGCCGACACCTGAGGGATCCTGGGTTGTTTATGCCGCTTTCTGGGTTTTTATGGGGGCAGGTGGTCAGATCGGGTCACTTCTCATGCAGGCATTTGTAAAGCAGCTTTGTTCAACTGTAGCCACCGGAACGGTTGAACCAAGCTCTTGATTTGCTGGCTTGCATGTCAGGACGACCAAGCACCCCTACGCAGTTGCTCAATCACCCTAACGCATCTCCGATTGTGTACGCCTCGATGCAAGCCAAGATGCGAGAGTGCGGGAAGCCTGTTTTGAAGTTGAAGCGCGAACAGTTGTCAGCCAGGTAGAGAGAAGCATCCAAGAATTAAAACACAGTGTTGCTATACCTGCTTTAGCATCAGGCAAACTTCGTTTGGGTCTGGGGAAGGTCAGTTGCCGGGGTGTCAGCCAACCGTTTGTGGCGTAGCTGTTGCGTGGATTGAAGCCGGGACTACTCCACGTTTCCGGCATAGCATGACAGTGATTTCCGCTCTTGCAAAGCGTGGGTTCGACAGAGTCGGCAAGTCAACCCTTGATTCCTGACCCCTTCCTGCACTGTGTTACATCGCTCGTCACTCCATGTTCCATGCTGCCCAACCACTCCATACTCCAAAGGCCGCCCGGCCTCAGCAACTGCCTTCCTATGGCAAAGCCGGGAGGACATGTCGTGGGTCGAGGGCGTAACGCTGTTGAGCTCCGAGGGGCACAACATCATGGCACTCATCTCAGTGTTTTGGGTCGGTAGGTCACTTGTCGATTGTTGAGTGTGTGGGGGCATTTGCATTCAAAATGCTTGGTGCTCGGAGGCCTTCATCTTGCTCATGGCCTTTCTCCGAGATCACCAGGAGCGGCGGCTCCAACTCTGCAGTGTTCATTCTTGTCTGTCTTGTAGTCTTGCAGTGTCTTGCAGATAATCCAGCGGTTGCATCAAGTCGCGACCCTAGTTGATATTCATCGAAAGGAAGCTTCCAGAGAATAGGTGGCTTGGGAGAGGGCATAAAGCCAAGAGGAGCAGAACATGAAATGGATTGTTGCCCAACCCCAATGCCCTTCAAAGTCGGTTCGCAGTACAGGAGCTCTACGTGGATGTGGACCTCATGGACGGTCGCATCTACTCCATGAAGGGTCCCGGTGGGCTGGAGTCTCTTGGCATACCTTAGCCGGATGAAAGCTGCCGCCAGCGCCGGAAAAGTTGAAACCTCCAGCAGGCCGCTTGATTCCGGATCAAAGCCAGTTGTGCATCTTCTGGAGCTCTCTTCGATACGTCACGGTTCCGTGTCCTGCCAATCAGGCAGGTCACGAGGTGGCAGGTAAAGGTCTCCGAGATTTTGTCTTGGCCGGGCACGACACTGCGGGCCCGGGCCTCCGAGTCTTCCACTGGGCGGGTTGCGATGCCGTGCGGCGGGGCCTCGTGAATGGTCAAGGAGCTGCGTGCTGCTGGAGCGCCATCCTCCCATCCATCACTCCCGCCTGTCAACTTGCTTGGACTTCGCGACGGTGATTTGGAAGCCGGCAGAAAGGACACAGAGAAAAGCAACCGTTCTCTTCTCTGTTTCTATCTGATGTGTTTTGAACCTTTTCCACCAGGCCCTGTGTTCACTCGAGGCTCCCTCTTTCGGGTCGGGGCTTGTTCTCGTTTATCTGAGGCTGACGCCTGCGGAGGATCAAGTTCTTCTGTGCGAGGCATCGTTTCCCTCTGCCCAGCATGCACCTGTCCTAAGCGGATGTGATGTGATGACCCTTACACCCCGCTGTCACATTTTGTGTGCATGATTCCCCCATCACCCCCTGTGTGAGGATATAGAGGTCATCAATGATGTGCGGAAGGCTTTGTCAGAGGCTGGACCAAGCATTCCCGGAATGCATACAATGCAAATAGCTAATGTCGTCTGACCCCTGACAGCCTGGCGACGTCAGCACCGCACAGCGCGAAGATGGGGAAAGCAAGAGAGTCCGCTTGCAACAGGCTTTCTACAGCAAAGCTTCGCCAAAGATTACCACCGTGCAAGAGGAGGACTTACAATGACAGATTTATGAATGTGTATTGCTTTGCCGTCGGCTTGGCACCACATGTTCGCAATTCAGCACGTGCTTGAGTTGCAAGCTCGTACTGCGCTGTACAAATCAGCTAGGTGGCAGGAGGTAGTTAAAGTCATACTGAGAATATTCTGAATTACGAGGGTCTTTTGCAAAAGGACTTGTCTTCTGCAAGCTCTCTAACAGCAGAAGGGGATGCGACGAACTCCGAGCTTGAAGCAACATCAGAGAGCTGTTTGGCGCTGCCCTCCAGGATGGGATCGACTTCTCCGGGACACGAGGAGCGGCACGGAACGCATTTTCTGTGTTTTGAGATTGGCTCCAATGCCGGTGCGGAGAGAGGCAGACGGGACGATGAGCCCGTACCGCAGGTGGCTGCAGAGTAGTGGCCCGAGTATGCAATGTTGTAGTGACAGCTTTTCTTTGGAAATGCTTGCCTTGTCTCCTTGGACCGTTTCGAGTCGAGGGTAACAAATGACCATCGAAACAATCACGAGCTACCGAGATGGCTGTGAGGCTTGTTCCTCCCCTGTGTGGTAGTGCGCCATTACCTCACCTCAAGCTTTCAGAGCTGGAGAATGTAATTTGTTGAGCAAGGCCTCGAGTTTCAGAAGCTTTGGCCCGAGCCTTACATCATGCAGGGACCCTGCAGCAGGGAGACACTGTGCAACTATCTAGAGTCTAAACTTGTGCAGTGTAGAGGCCAGCAGCTAAGTGCAGCCCTTATCGAAGATCGCGCCAACTGCCATGAGGACCGTCTTTTTGAAGTGCTGCGCGAGTGCTCCACACGCATGGAGAGCATCGACGAGGCGGCTTCGATCATGTGGCTTTGCCCATGGCCAGACCGGCAAGGGCCCCACGTGTGCACTGTCTTGATGTGGTCTTTGTCGAGCACTTGCCACGTATCACTTTGTGCAGTGGAAGCTTGTGCCAGAGCACTTGAAATACGGACCAATCCGAAAGCTGTTCCGTCGTGCAGGAGACTTGGAACCAGCGCATCAGCCTGTCCAAGCCGACTCGGCAGATCATTCCTTTGCACCAACAGAGTAGCAGGAAGGCCAGGACAGTTTCGTTAGGTTACTTCAACGGTATCTGTCGGTCCAACCTGAATGAAGTCACCCACAAAAACTGTGCAGCAATGCTACAGGTGCCGGAAATTCCGACCCTGACAGAAGTGAAGTGTTGAAAGCACAAGCTCTCGAAGCCGCGCTGCAATTTGAACATGCTTCTGCAGCGCACGGAACTCGGTGCCGCATTTCCTGCATGCAGATTCTCTTCAACAGGTCTTTCCACTTCCACATGCGCCGTCACAATTCACGACTACAGCAATATACCCCTCTGAGAGTCTGTTCTTTTGCTCCGTGTTCACATTGACAGCAAGGAAACACGTGACCATGAGTGTGCTAAGCGGTAAGAAGGAAGAGGAGTGAACATTCGGAGCAGCACCGGCACAGGCTGGCTCGTCGGACGCGCTCTTCACCCTCTTCGAGCCTTTGACAGATCTAGCCCAGGCAGCGGACCAAACGAGCCACGAGACGGAGTTAAGAAAGACAGCCCAGGGGGCACTGTGCCCCCAGTAATGAAGTCACCTCAAAACCGCTCCGGCTGAGCAGCGCTTACAATTGTCGGGCCTAAGATTGCAAGTCTTGTCAAACAGCTTGATATCTTACCGAGTTTTTCTAGCTTGCAGGGTGGAGAAGTCGTCGAATTTGTTAGATACGGCGTGAGACTGAATGGACGCTAGGTCCGACCAGTCCCGTGCAGGGAGGTGGGTCCCCCAAACGCCAGGCCCGGGCTGCTGCGGAGCGCAAGGAGCAGGAAGAGGCCTAATGTTGATTTGGGTGGGATAGGAGGGCTGGGACGCCTCCGAGCTCGTAAAGTCTTCTTCCAACAAAAGCACCGAAGAGAGCTCAAGCAAAGAGAAGAGACACGGAATGACCAGAACACAACTCTGAGAGTGCACTAATCAACCCTGCCTGGCTCAGACAATTCTAGATCGTTGTCGTGCTGCAACGTCAATGGCTGCTAGGGTCAGCTTGCCCGGCCGGTACTTTAGGCCGAGCGTCGGCGGAAGGCCGAGGAAGAGAAGCGGAGGAGCGCGGCCCTCAGTCGCCCTGTTGTGATCCAAGAGCCTGGCAAGGTTCTCAAGCTTCGCGGGAGCTGCGCCAACAGCACCTGCCATTGTGTACAAGTCTTTGTCTAGTCCTCAGGAAAAGAGATGGAGAAGCAGGCCAGAGAAGAGGCGAAAAGACAGAAACATCAGGAGCAGCAAAGAGCCAGAGAAGAGGCGAAGCGAGCCAAGGGTAAAGGCCCGGTGGGCGTGGATCTTTCTAAGATTGTCGATGTGCTTCAGTGATTTTTCCACACCTGCTCAATGTCCATGTTGAGGCAAGGGCAAGGATGAAGCCAAGGGAAAGGGCAAGAAAGACAGGAAGCAGCAGAATTCCTACGGCGGCCAGCAGTACCAGCAGTACCAGCCGCAGCCGCAGCTGCAGCAGCCGCAGCAGCATCAGCAGCAGCAGAATTCCAAGAAAGGCCGTAGAGGCCGGGGCGAAGCCAAAGCTGTGGCTTTGTTTGTCGCTCTGAATCTGGGAAGGTGGCGCCCAGTCGAGCGCCGCATCGAGCAGTGATGCGCAGGCGCTGCAGCAGGTGCGGACTCTCTGCTTTGCACCCCTCAAGGTTCACATCTCTAGCACATGTATTGAAGTAGTTGACCCTAGAGACTCTGCAGTTTGCCGACCTACACATGCTTGGCTTCATTCATGGACACGGGAACGCAGCAAAGTGCCTTTCGTGGGATCGGATAATAGCGCCCGTGGGTCAAAACCGTGCCATGTCAGCAGGGCCGCAGCCTGCGACAGTAGAAGAACCTCTTGTTTTGTGCGCTCGACCGGCCCGATCTCCTGCTCAAGAATCAGCCTGTGTTGAGCTTGTGCCCTGTGTCGGATCTTCTTGTCAGGTCTACACAATGCCGGACTTGCCACAAGATTGGGTTGCAGTACCCGACCAGCAGCTCCTGCTGCACCAGTATCACACCTGAGAGTCTGCCAAGCCAACTTTCACTGAGACTGAATGTATGAACTGCTGAGCAAGGAGCATCACTTTTCGCCAGTCGGTGTGTATCGAACACTTGGCGCCATGGTGACCGCGACGGTGATGCTGATGGTGATGACGACGATGATGATGACGACGATGATAATGTTGATGATGATGTTGATGATGAGTGATGGAGGATGGGTGATTGGTTTTGATGTTGATGATGATGGTGATGATGACGACGATGACTACGAGCAGGATGACTGCAATGGTGATGTAGTTTCGGATGACATTGATTTTGGAGGGGGGGCCTGTCGGTCATGGTGGTTCTTACAATGAAACCGGGTGGTTCTTGGACACTTGGACGTGTGCAAGGGTGGCGAACGACCTTCTCGAGCCATCATGTCCGCCCACTATCCCAGCCCAGCCGATCCGGCCACCGCAGGTTGTTGTTACCGTCCTTGAGATCCGTTGTGCTGAACATGCCAGTGACATGCAGCCGAGGCAATCTGGAAGGCCGAGCAACTACGGACTGGGTTCGGGGAGCACTGCTTCTGAAAGCCATACTCGACTTCTGGACTGAGGCCGTACTTCTGGAACCCGACTACAAATGAGGTGACCTGGACCAAACCAGGGCCACCGGGGCCACCCATGATGATGCCACCTATGCCCGCGATGTTCCAGCCCCAAATGTTTTTTCAGCAGCAGTAGAAGCGTCTGCAAGAAGTGGACGCCGATAATGATCGAAGCCAGTTTCATGCCATGCTCCAGTGGCAGATGGCCTACAACGTGATGGGGGACTCTTGCTAGTTTCAGACGAACTCCATAAAGAAGTGTTGTGCTTCAACGAGCCCTCGTCTTGGAGGCTATCTACGACTGAGCTTGTGCATAGGCATGTGCTAACAAGGTTTCACTTGGAAGAAGTGCAGTGGTGATCGGGTTGGAATGCTTGAGTAGTCAGTACATGAATGGACAGTCTACGGCGCTTCCTTTGCGAACTACCTGCAGCTTGCTCCGCCCTGAGCCGGTCTTTCTCAGTTCGAGCTAGAGAAAGTCAGAGGCTTGCGGCTAGGCCAGTAATATTCTTCTCAGCTCCATTGCGATCGGTTCAAAAAGCAGCAGGCGGACAAGAACTGCCTGCATCGTGCAGCAGTAGCCAAGATGCATTGTGTCTCCTGATTGAAGCAGCCGGAGCTCGATCGTCAGGTTCAAAAGCGGCACTCCCACCCATCATCACACTAGACTTGCCCATGAAGGCGGCTGCACGTGCATAGGTGTATGTTTTTTGATAAAATCGAAGATGGATAGATGGATAGATGCCTGGATCGACAGATAGATGGTTAGGCAGATAGATTGGTAGGTATGTAGACAGATGATTAGGTAGGTAGATAGGTAGATAAATAGATAGTGGGTAGGTATAGTTTGATAGGTAGATAGGTACAGATGCATGTATGGCCTTTTGAGGATCAAGCAGATACATGTATTTCTCGCTCTTCGGACTCTTCGGAAACACGTAGCCGTGTGGCAAACATTAGAGCCTGCCGGCGCGGAGCTCTTAAGCCGTCGGCCCAGATGCTGTTTTGTCTTTTCAGTTTGAAGAGGTTTGCAGCTTGTCTATCACCACGCGTGCTGCTTGAAGTGCCAAGGGCTCCGGAGATTGGCCAGCCGTGGCTCAGGCTCGCCTCGCTAGCTGCGCAAGGCAGGGCCGCAGGCCGGGTCTGCACTTTTAGAGACGTTCCGTGCTTCACACCTGGCGTTGCTTTTCTTAAAAGCTTGCATGAAAGCCAGGCTGGCGTTGCACCAGTCCAAGGCCGGGCAGGGCAAGCGGCTTGTGTTTGAAGACTTGCAGAGGGTATTGGTTTCGATCCAGAGAAAGCTCAAGCTTGAGACGGCGGGTTTACAGGCCGAGAAGTGTTGTTTTGCCTGTGCGCTGAAGCCGAGCCGGAGCAATCGAGACACTGGTTGCCACCTTGACTATAAAGAAACGATGAGCATCTCCGACCTAAGGTAGGAAGGTAGGAAAGACTTGTGTTTCATGCGGAAAGAAGAGCACGCACATTCCTTCTTTGTGAGAGAGAGCGAGGGGCAGATATTTACACAAGCAAAGCGTCTCCCCTCCATTCTCTAGGGCTAGGGTGGAACATGGAGAGAAGGTCTCTCAAAAGGCACACACGTTTGCGACGGCGATGTTTCTTTTTCCAAAAGGGCTCGTTTACGATCTAGAATGTAGACACTTGCACTCATAAACAACGAGTCTGTCACGGTTTGTCGTTCTTCTCCGTGGTTGTTTGGGGCATGCCGCTTAGGAAACACGTTAAAGGGCTTCCGTCATTACCTAAACTTCGGACAGCCGATTTCCTGCATGAAACCCGGACCATGTCGCTCTTCCCTTCGTTGCTTGGGCAAGCCCCAGTGGTTGGAAGATTTGAAGCAGGGTGGGAAGGAAGGGCAGGCAGGCCCCAGCTGCCAGACTTGCGCACGTCAGTGGGTTCCGTGCCTCATTGCTGTAGTAGCTGTAGTACTTGCATGAAGACTCGCCCGCTGTCTCCAATATTCACCAAAACATAGTGCCCAAACAGACAGCAAAAGAAGTACTTGCACAGGATGGCGCGCAGGATGCTGTCAAGAAGTAGGGAATCGTCGCTGCGAAAGGGCTTGCACTAGTAAATGAATCAGCCCCATCGCAAAGTGGCAGGTTCACGCCGCTGGGGTCGCAGACATCAGTCGAATGAGCGTGCCGTGACCCATCTGGGTGCAGCAAACTGAAGGGTGGAGTCGGTGCTTCCCTTTACGAGGTACACCTGCGTGCCCATTTTGCCCCACTTCGGCGCCGAGGCAAGGAGCCGAAGTGGGAAGCGAACGTAAGCAAAGCTATGCACTTAGCTTCTCCCCCGAGGTTCGGGACTTCTCTCTAGACGGTCATGAGCCGCTGCCGGCAGACGTCGTGCAGAGGAGCAGAATCTGCCCGACGAGCGCTCTCTTCTCACCTCTCCTCCTGTCTCGATTTCTGGAAGGATCAAGGAGGACATGAAACTTCACCGAGTTTTGGTCTTCAAAGGCCAGGGCCGACTCAGTGGAGCAAGACAGGCCGGTCCGCCATGTGCCAAGATACTTCGGAGACGCTGCAGTCGCTCTTTGGCTCTGAGGTGC